ACTGATGTTTTATTAATCAGTTCTATATCAGATATAAAGAACTGATGTTGAAGGTCATCAGCGCTTTATCGCAACCCAACACTAGCAAAGGTCTCAGTTTTAATGTCGCATCATAGACCTTTGCTAGGTTTTAAATCAGTTTGAATCAATGTGCAGATATGCAGTATAGCATAGACTAGCCGTTCTTACGTGTGGGATCAAAATTCTTTCATTTGTGACAAATGCACATGCTCAGTAGAAGTTTAACATGCATAATCTCTGTTTTTGCATTTTTTAGCTTTTTTCTAAATTTTGATAACAATTTCTGGATGTTGGAGTTCTAGAAGTAGTACAAAAAACTCGCAGTCATGCTTTATCAGGGATATAGACACTCGGCCTTTGGCCTCGTGTCTATATATCCCGATAAAGCACTCCTGCTCGTTTTTTAAACACTACATAGTGTACATGCATTAAATTTGCCTTAATCAGAACAACAAAGGAAATTCTGAAAATGACTTCTAAAGGGGACCTTTAGGAGGGTGGATGTGGTTACAGCTTAGAGCCATCTATTATGTTCCTAACAGAGCTCCACATAACTCAGTTGGAGGGAATTCTGGACACCAACATTCCGAGTGGGACAAAAACCATGTTCTCAAAACCTAAAAAGGATATTGGAATTTCCTAGTATGCCCTATCAAACTAGTAAAAAAAATTACCTTGCAGATGACATATCATGTTGTCTAATGTGTTTTTTCCATTCATCAAGAGCTGTGCCTCCATATGCACACAAGTATTCCTGAAAAARGTAAATACTCAATTTGTCTTTCTCTCACTGCTGACTACAGCACTTCACACGGAGACCACACCTACAAAAAGGTCTCTAAAATTCTATAGTTTGTCTAGACCTTTTTTTTGCAAGAACAAACTAAAATTTGCTGTCTAAAAAGATAAATTTAACATGACAGTAAAAAAAATTACTTGATCTCTAAGTTGTTTCGCCTATTTTTTATGTTATTAAATTTATCTTGTTTACACAACTGTTCCTTTTGAAACACGGACACAGCTCACACTTAGTTTGACGCTAGTTTCCACCATTCAAACTAGAATTGACAGATGGACAGAATTTGAATGAGGTATAAACATCGTAATGAATGACTATTTTAAGTTAATTTGCATGTGCCAATGTCTTTCTCCAGGAAACCAAACATCTGTTTTAAATGGTTTCTACTAGTTTTCATTGCCAATTGAYTTTACACAATTTGACAGATCATGGGCAAACTGTGCATGACCTTAAATATGCTCATAATTAATAATCATTTGTATGTTCTATAAATTTTATYATCCACTGGCAGATTAATGACTACAATTCAAGATTTTCCCTGTTTTTCTTACCAACAGGTCTTTCTTGAAATTTGTATTTCTTTTACTTGGTGAATTCTTTGAAGCAGAGGAATCAGCTGGTTCTACACCAGTAGACAACCTTGGAAACTTTGGGCTAACCCATATACTAAGAATGTTATTTCATTTTAATTAATATACATGAAAGCTGGCCAGTGAAATAACTGTAAACTAGACAACAATGTGGCCTTTCCACTAATTTATGCCAAATTTCATTACTGTTTCATTACTTTCATTATAATTGGCAAATTGCATCATGCTATTGATGAAGGACAGTGGATGCCATATAATAATCAAAACACATATAAACATTGCCCAGTTTGTACTTTSTCCAATATTCCCTAGTTCATTTTGATGACGTCATTAGCCATAGGAGAATTAAAGGATTAGCAAGACTCGAAATAACATCTGGACCTAYGAAGGACATAATGCTGTTTCAAACACTTTTTTGGAAGGTCATGATAAATTATTAATTAAAAGATAGGGCTAGTAAATATGTCTTTTCAAATTTCGATTTGTTGACAGGGCATAAAGCAAATTTGGAAGGACATTGTTCTTTGACCTCCCCTTATGTCGAGCCCTGGGTTTGCATCCAAAATGCTCATATTCTATAATTTTGTGATTTGATATAGGTTACATTAATTTGCTCCAGTTTAAGAAACATGTAGTACTTTATTCATCAAGTTGAACACAATTCATTCATTCATTTAAATTACCCTTGTGTTTTTTGGTCCCAGTCTTGTTGAATCAGGTTAGCTGTTGTTATGACAACTCGAATCCCATCAGTATACAGCAAGAACATCATTTTACTAACAAGAATGTAATTTTAAATAGCAATTAAT